TACTCTGTTAATAGGACATTCCTATATGTATTTACTATTCTTAGACCTATGTGGATATTCTATGACCTATAATTTAAAACTCATTAGTATAATCACTAACCATAGACTTATACACATGAGTAAGTCTTATGATACTTTGGGTTAGTGGGAGTTTATCAATAGCATTTTCATATGCTTGGGTCATTCTTTATAACATATTACTCTGAAGTTAAATATGTTACTCTAAAGTCATCATTTTTATATAAAGTTGTGAGTTTTAACATGTATGATTTGTCTTCCCTATCGGATACAATTTTTGCAGCGTTGAAATTTACTTCTTTTGATTGATTAGTGTTTTGACCATTATTGATATTCTAATACTAAAATCAACATTTTTTAATAATTAATTATTGTCATCCAAGTGGGAGATTGTTAGATTAATTATTTAATTAATCAAATATGGATTGACATAATTAATTATTAATTAATTATATTATGGTCTATTGTTATTAAACACTAAATAGATAAATTGTTTGATTGGGTTTTGTGCCTGAATAGACTGTAATGGGTTGGACCATTCAGTTAAGCCCAATGAGAGGTCCATGCCCTCAGCCGTTTAGCTATTTAAGTGTCTCCCCATTAGACAATTAACTTCCTCCAAAAATCCCGGCAATGAGGGTAGTAATTATCTCATACTCACAAGCTTCGACAACCGTCTCTTCAATCTTATAAGGTACATTGTTCCAATTATTCTTGATTATTGTTAGATTATACAATATGCTATAATCAGGAAATGTATCAACTTCTAATAGTTTTTTGTGTACTATTTCATTAAATTTGTAAGGTTCTTAAATATTTAGATGAAGTTGAGGTTTTTGAGACAAATTTAAACTCCAATTGAGTCGTTTTTGAGTTAGACTTTCAAATATATCTCTTTAAAGTTGTGTAGTTTTTAAATTAGTAGATTATTGAGACAAAGTTAAATGGCAACCTCTGCATCGAACTCTTTCACACAGTAAACGATGCAATTTTCCCTATTGCAAATTCAACCTTTAAACAGAAAAGCTCTGCCAAATTGGACGATTCCAACTATCGTCAATGGAAGCAACATATCGAAGGTGTTCTTTGTGGTACGACGATGGTAAAATTTGTCGGTGCGCCTTAAATTCCTGAATGTTTTCTTTCCATTATCGGTAGGGCTGGCAATGAACCAAACCAACTCGAAAATAGTTCGAAATTCGATTCGAAAATTAAATCGTTGAACTAGGTTCATGAACCAAATGAGTTGAGTATGAGCGAAAAATTAAGTTCGTTAACAAAATGAGCTGAACTTGAACTATACATAGTTCGACTCGTTAGGTTCATGAGTCAACTCGATTACATATGAGAAGAATTATATTTTCTTTAAGATTAGGTTTAAATATTTACTCCAAATCTTAGACAAATTTAATCTTCAATTTAGTAGTTTTTGAATTAGACTCTCAAATGTATCTCTTGAAAGTTGTGTAGGTTTTGAATTAGTAGATTTCGAAGATAAAGTTAAATTTCAATATGATAACTTTTATTTTATTTTAATATTTTATTTTTAAAAAATATATTTATTTAAAATGTCAAATATACTAAAAAATATAAATATTTAAAAAAATAATTTTTAAGTCCGTGAATCATGTGAGATGAACCTAATGAGATGAACCTAACGAGTTGAACCGAACTGCTCGTGAACTTATATCGAGTCGAGTTTGAGCTTAAAAAAAAGTTCGTGTCGAACTCGAACTCGAACAATTCTTAACGAGTCGAGCCGAACTGAGGTGAGTTCGACTCGACTCGACTCATTTCCAGCCCTAATTATCGGTTATCTCTGATTCACTCCTCTCGTGTTTCATTTTGCATCGTAACTCGTGGCAAGTATGGTAGGAAATTCACTCGTCTTGTCACACGCCAATGAAAACATGTTCAAGACAATTGAGGTCTAAGTTGCGATCGCTTTCCAAGAGCACACGATCAATCGGTGAGTTCTTATCTCGAGTTCGCACCATTCTTGACACCTTGATCTATTAGTGATCCAGTTTTACATCAAGATCGAATTGAACTCATTCTTGAAGCATTGCCAAGTTAATTTGATTCACTTATTGTTGCTGTTAATTCCATACCTGATTTCGTTTCGCTTGATGAACTAGAATCCTTGCTTCTTACTTAAGAATCACGTATTGAGAAGACTAAGAAAGAAGCTTCTAAAATTGTTTATGTGAACCTAACTCAAGGAGCTACACAACCTCCTCATCCTCGCTCTTTCAAAGTGAATGGTCCCAATCAATTTAACATGCCTACACCTGGTTTTAGTGGTCGTAGTAACCATTTTCGTAGCAGAGGCAATCGTGGTGGCAGGTTCAGAGTACGTGGTGCATGCAATGGATATAGTAACTTTGTTTAGTGTCATATTTGTTATAAACATGGACATGATGCAATCTACTGTTGTTATCACCACACATAAGATCCTTATGGTGTACCTCTTGGGTCTGGCAACTTTGGTACGCATTAGCCAAATGTGTGGGCACAACCAGAATACAGAGTACCTAATTCCATGTATATCTCCTCTCCTAGACATGTATCTCCTTCTATGCAGTCTCAGTATCCAGTATCAAGGCCTCGAGCTCTAATGGCTCCTTCTATGCAGTCGACCCAAAACACGGGTGAGTTAACCCATCCAGTAAATGTATCGACCCATCTTCCATTTGTATCGACTCATTTGAGGCAGTGAAAAAAATTTAGAAAACATGTTTCAAATTGAGTCGACCCATTCATCAAATGTATCAACCCATTACTTCTTTGTATCAACCCATTCAAGGCAAATTCAAGATCTTTAAAATTCGACTCAGTATGTATCAACCCATAACCAACTTGTATCGACTCATGCATGTTATTTTATGAGAAATGCATATTTTGGCATCTGATGGATTATGCAATTTAATCTTACCTGCTATGATGATGATGCACACCTAGACAAAAATTGTAAGGTCCAAATACACAAATATCTAAGCTATCTAATCAAATTTTGACATCATTCAAAATACATTTAAGGGCATATTGCGCTCACAATAGATATCTTTTCCTTCGTAGAAGGTTGACGAATTCATTAGATTCATGGAGTTCTCTTCTCCTTTTACCTCGAGTTATAGTCAGAGATTCATTTCTTAGCTGTGATAGCACTAATTCATGTATTTTATCAAGTTACCTTAACATCAAATGAGATATGGTGATAGGAAATTGTTATTGACGTAACATTTTCTTCTCAATCTCCTCAATTGCAATAATCAAAATCAATCATTGGATCAAAAGATTCGAAGGAGTTTCCTAACAAAAAGTTGGTGTTGAATTTCTCCTTATAGTGATTTCATCACAATCTAGCTTTGAACCAAAACTAAGATTTTATCTTATTTGTAATGGATAAATGTCCAATATAGACAAGAAAGAATTGAAATTTTTTTAATAATGACAACAAAAATAAGGTGCTAATTGTCGTATAGATCTATAAAACTCTCTTTATGTACCTACATGTGTTCAAAATTCAGTTTTTGTTGCAAAGTTCGAAGAATAGAATAATAATTTTAAAATTAGAAACGTTGTATTTATTATGAATATGGTACTTAAATTGATTATTTGTATCATTTCAATCTTCATGTTAATTTTTTAAAATCTTGTTTATTCACAGAATTAATAATGGGGTTAATGAAAATTGATTTATTCTCAACTTTGTATGCCTAAGATATATGCTTGGATTGCATTGCAAAGTGACTGAGTATTGATAAAGATCTAATCTCGTTCAAACAAGATATAGAAGATCTATTTCACTTTCATAATTATTCAAAACAAATGATTTGTAAATAGATCTTTAAAGACCAAACAAAACTTAAAAGAAAATTTTAAAAGGTATAAAGGTAGACTCTTTGCCATAAGTTTCACTCAATGATAGAACTAATTACCCTATCTTCATTTTCAAAGAATGACTCTTTGAAAATTGTTAGTTATTCATCATAACTTGGAGCTTCCATTGATAGACAGCAATACCATCTTTCTGAATGGTGGATTAAAAGTAGGAGTGTAAATGACTCAACCTAAATGACTTATTATAAAACTGAATGGAAGTTACAAGACTGAATGTGCTCTACAAGATATAGCAAATAGTAGTAAAGCTTCATATACTACTTACATAAAAACTACTTCATGCCACTAAGAATGCAAGGAAAAGGAGGTAGAGAGACAAAAGAAGCAAGAACAAGAAATTTAAATGATAAAATAACACAATCAAATCATATCCAATTACTTAATCAAGAGTGATTTGGAATAAAATTATCCCTCAACTCAAATCAGTCCAACCTGTAGCCACCTTAATATTCAAGGTGGCATTTTTAGAAAATAATATGCAACTGCAGCATATAAAAACAGATTAATTCAAACCTCGACAATCAAAACTTTAGTATTTTCATTTCTGTACATTGCATCCACAAAGCATATAGCATTCATTTATGGTAGCTAGGCAAGTTATGTCTAGTCATGCTTTGCTTTCCATTCACAGTTCAATAATAGACATCAACCATGGTTTTTGAGCTGACAATGCTAGTTAGCTTAATCACTAGCTCAAAACATGACAGTGTAATTCATATGCTCAAAATGGAGTGTAATTCATATGCTCGTCATTAGAAAAGATAGCACACATCCTTTGTAACTAGCAAATCAGAAGCAAAAACATGCCAGCTTTACATTTATCTAGCTTTTAGCTTCCTGACTTGCTATAACCAACCCTTTATGAACTTTACATTTCAAATAACCTGTAGAAGATAATAAACACTTCATCACAGGTTTAACAATACAAATAAAGTGAGCATTTGAAACATGAGGAAAGAGCCCCCTTACCCAATGACATAATTGAAGAAACTCCAAGCCACTCAAGCCACCTTTATCATAGGATCACTATCTACAGCTACTTATCCCAAAATTTAGTTTGTTTAATTTGCCTAAAAGATTCATGAAGATGATGCAAAGTAGTCTCGGATGGTTCTTTTTAGGGAGGGTGGCGGGTTCAATACAGATGAAGGACTCTTCAAAGCAGATTCTGGAGTGTTTTTAGGAGATATGGTTAGATCAAATTCTGATGAAAGTTGGTTTTTTTGGCTTTCAGATGTAGTGATTTTAGGTGGGGTGGTAGGCGTGGCTAACTTTATTGGGTTGTGGAGAGCTACATCAGATAACAGGCCATCGTCAATGAACTTGGGGAAAATTTCTTCATTGTTCAAGAGCATTTTGCACTCTACCTTAGGCATGGCCATAATTCTTCTTCGGATGGCAAATGGAATCTTTTGTGTGGTACAATAATTGCGCTTATTCCATATCCGGATCTAAAAACAGAAAGTTGGGTTAAGTTGCAAATCTGGTGGGAAAAATAACTGGTAGCTGGGAAAAAGAGACAATAGACAGTCCTGACCCAAACAGCATTCCAAAATAGCAATACAAGTAAATAAACAAAGTTGCTTACTGTGAAATCATCAGAAGCAGTTGCTAGTTTTCCAATGTCAGAGCGGCTCCTGCAAAAAAAATAAAGTTAAAATCTCATAACAATTATCTAAGAGAAATAAAACCACACTTAATTTCCAATTTACCAGTCGACTGCAGTAACCTCCTCATCGTGACTCTTCAAAATAGTGGGATCCACTTGAGGCTTGTTAACCTGGTTTTTGAAAGTTCAATAAAATTACATCCCTACTGCAACCCAGTAACAAACTTATAGTAGCTGATTAAAAGTTAGAAATGTAACCTGCCAAACATATGCTTTTCCATTACTGGAACCACAGACTATGTTTGATGCATCAGGGCTAATTGCAGCCTGGAATGCACACATCAGACACGGAAAAAATTGAGTCACCATGAAAGAAACTGAATTCAAGAAATTTTAGGCAACAGGCAAAAGTATCACCTTTACAAAAAATGAATCTATGCGACCTCCTTCAAAATATCTTATTGGCCCTTTTTCAAGTTGAAGTACATCATATAGATAAACTCTGCAAGAAAAAATATTTTGTTTAATTTGTGATCTCAATGTGAAAAAAATCAAATTACATTAGGTTGTATATATAATAGGATTGCAATAAATGCTAATTGATATGACTTTCTAGTTTTAATCCTAATCTATAATTTTAATCATAATCCCAATAATAAATAGATAGTTATGACTCTTTGATTTAGACACTATCCAGATAAAGCTTACTAAGCTCCAAGCTTGTAACAACATGTGGATGTACTAAAGAGAAAATAGAAACAAATGGAAGGTTGTAGCACAGCTGAAGGTAGCTGTAGCAAAGACAGTTCAATTTGTCAAAGTATTGTGGAGGTGGCTGTGATGGTTGTGTGGTGGCTGTCATAATAGGCCTTGCCAGAGAAGGCGCGGCTGGATGTAGAGAGAAACACGAAAGGGGAAAGATAGCCTCTAGATGAATCACTATGAATGCGTAGAGCAGAACCTAAGGAACAATTAAGTTATTTGACTAAGGGTGAATGACAGCTGAAAAAAACAAGATCACATTGGAGGGATCACATGGAAGAAAATTGGAGAACATGCAAAAGGACGATGCACAACAGAGGAGAAATGGCCAGAAAATCAGAAGCAGAGAAACCCCTAAAACACGAAAAACAGGAATCACAAGCTAAAACTTTGAAGGCATGTAAACTGGGAGGAGGTGCTTCATATGACGAGGTTTATTCAAAAGAAATTTTTCCAGCACTGTGCCAGTGTTTGGCTGCAAGGCTACTCAGATTACAGTGTCATTCAGGTGGTTGGACTTGCAACAACAATTAGGGCACCTTTGTTCTGACAGTGACTAATGATGCATGTCAGAGAATGGTTCACTGAGGAAGAGATGGGCCAGGAAAAAAGAAAAAAGATCATCAAAAACAAACCAAAAAAACAGTCCATTTAGGAGGCTAATGAAGAGAGGTCTCAATGCACATGAACAAAATAGGGAAACTATAAACTTTTCTAGTTGTGGCGGGCGGCTTGCGTTTCACAATCAGAATATAAAACGATACCATGCTGAATATGTGGTTTTGGTGTGTCTAAATCAGATAACATAATGATGTATTTATGATAGGATTGCACAAATACAATAAATACTAACTGATATGATTTTCTAATTTTAATAGTAATCAATGATTATAATTCTTATAAATAAACAAATTTGAGATACGATTCTTTGATTCTAACAAATTTTATTATATATTTTGCTGTATGTTCTTTAAGCAATGGTTTGATTCACTGAAACAGAATTTAGAAGGATACCGGCTATCCATGCATGAAGCTGAGAGTAAAACTCCACTGTCATCTTGGGACAAGCTAGATATACCATGTAATCTTTGCTGAAAGGACAAAGAAGGATAAAGTCAGAGATTGAAGTCTACACCATATCAAGATTCCAAAAATCAATTAGAATATTAACTTAGTCAAAAAGACATTCATAAAAAACATACTACAGCTGGCAGTTTTCATCACATTAACATTTTAACTTTGAGAGATATAGTTCCATAAGGAATGCATGTCATCTCTTATTCAACTTATAAACTGTTTCGGTTTATTCAGGACCCCCAATTTGTAAATTCTTAAGCCAAACTATGTATAGATACTAAAAGACTACCACTTCATATCTCAGTTTCAACTAACCTTTCCTGTTGAACACGGTTGAGGACATGTCTGAGTGACAGTACTTCTTAAATTTCTGGTATCCCAAAACTTAAGCACACTGAAGTAAACCAATTAAATGATGAAAACAATCAGCACAGTTAAAAGCTTCAAAAAAACTTGATAATATTTTGAAGGGTATTACATTCAACTAACCTATCCGCCGCACCAGAAGTGGCTATGGAAACTTGATCCTTGAGCCAAAGAACAGACGTAATACTCATGGAAGCTCCCTGAAAGGTTAGATATGTTGTTAAAAAGGTTTAGTTTGCAAAAAGGGAGGGATTGGCGGACCACCAGCAACTTACCTTAGATTTGCACCTCCTTACTCGTTGTGCTTGAGATGGATCATGTGCTCCTTTGACATCAGCAATTGAACTAGAGAAGCAAACATATAATAGAGAAACTATAAGAAAACACCATGTTCATTAAAACTAATAGTAACTTACAGATTGATAATTCTACAACTAGCGTAAATGCTCATTGTAACAGTTTTACAAATAGAAAGCTGCAACTTACCATATGCTACCTTCTCCATGTCTATTCTTTGCAATGGAGTTACATCTTAAGTCCCATAGACGGAAGGATCCATCTCTTGAACCGGAGACAAGAATATCTATAAGTTTGTAGGCAAAAAAACGTCAATTGCTAATGTATTACTTTGTGGTTGTATAGAATCAAGTACTACGGTGAAACTTTGGGAGGTGTATACAATGAAATATTACCAGCATTAGTTGGATGAGAATAAATAGATTTCACACTCCCCAAATGCCCTGCTAACACTACAAGACACTTCTGTTCTTGAACATCCCATACTTTAACCTGTATATGAGCACCATAACAACATTCAAGATAAAATCAGCTTGATGGAAACTACTTAAATGATACTATTGATTGGAAATATAGCTAGTATCATAAAACAATCAGTAACATCACAAAGCAAGAGCAACAATATACAGAGAGCATTTCAAATTAATCCATCAATTGTTTCAGCAAACAATAGTAAACTGATAACAGTGACTCACCGTTTGATCACCAGAAGCAGTGAGGATCTGTGTATCATCCTGAAAACAATTGTAAAACAATCCAAGACAATATAATTACAATCAATCAAAGAAGTACCCAAACAAAAAAACATGTTCTTAAAATATGCGAACATGAGATCGGTAAATCAAGGGCTACCTTAATCCAATTGACATCAAAAACTGCATTATTATGCGAACTCCATTCACAAATCCTTGATTGCTCTGAGATCAAAACAGGGGAATCATTCACATAAATAAATCACAAACCATCAAATCCCATAATATATATAAATAATTAACATGAAATTGATTAAAATTAAACTCAAAAAGTAAACTAAAACAAACCTGCATTTCTTTCATAGCACGTAGGCACGGGAAATTTGCGACTAGTATCAAACAAGCTAATAAACCCTTCCTCATTAGATAAAGCAAGAATGTGAGAATATTTTGTAGTCTGCATACAAATTTAATAAAAAATCATTATTTTTTACCTAAAGTTTTGTGGAGAGAATGAAAATTTGAAGCTTGAGTACCTTGGCGTAAGAGAGAGCAAGGGGAATAATGTCTTCAGAATCATGCTGAGTAGCTATAGCTCCGATTTCGTAAAACGCGTCAGTCCATCCATCCATGTAAGGTCGTTTTCGAACTGCAAAATCATCATCATCAACAACAACAACAAAATCTAGAGTGAGAAAAATCAAGCTAGGAAGAAAACAAGAGTGTACAGTGAGAGAGATAACCTTGGAAGGAAGTGAGCTCCCTTGATTTGACGATATCGAAGACCGATTTGGATTTTCGAGTTGCCATTGAGATTTCAGAAGAAGAAAAATTGAGAAGAATCGAAGAATCGAAGAAGAAGAAGAAATGAAAGGGAACGAAAAGGAAGAAGAAAAGGGATTAGGGTTTTGAGAAGGAAGAGAGTGGGAAAAATGGAAAATATATTATACTGAAATTTTAGGCGCTGTGGGTACAAAAAAAACGATTTGGCGGGAACATTGTTTTCGTGTTTATGAATTTTTTTACTAGATTATGTTATACGCTTTCAATGGTTTTTATAATTATTTAAAATACTTTATAAATAATATTAATATTTTAATTAAATTGAAATATATTTTTTGACTGAAAATTAAAATATATTAGTATTTGTTGAAAATTAGTCAAGAAAAAGTATTTAGTTTTTTACTTTAAAAATGTTAATTGAGGAATGTAACGTTTAACATGATGACAATACTAAAAAAACATAATTTAGAATGATAATAATGGTAATATTATAAAATAAGGTATTGTTACTCAATATTTTAAAAAATGTATAATAAATTAAAATTTTATTACTCGCTCCGTTTTAAAATATTGTAATTTTAGAGAAAGTTTTTGTTTTAAAATGAATGTTATTCTCACTTTTCAATATAATAATAATTGTTATTTTTTCAATTGTGTTATATAATTACATTATTACTTTGTACACTATTTCTAACATATTAATAAGATTAATTTAATAAAAATGTAATATCTTATAATAATATCATTGCATTTTTTAATCTGTGCGCAATAACCTTAAACGATAGTCATTTTGAAATAGAGAGAGTGTTTATTATTAGAGAATACAATATTTATTTTATTTGAGATTGTATGAGTTTTGTGACATTATTTACGAAAGAATATTAAAATAGATTATGATATTTTTTTTATAATTAGTATTTTTAAGTTGATGGTCAAAGGCTTAAATAATTAAGACTTAAATCAATTCAGATCCATTTCATTTGACTTTAGGTATTTAAGTATTTTCACACGGAAAGTAAGGTATGCTTTTTCTAATATTCACTTTTTACTATAATTATTTGGACTTTTGAACTGACTTAGGCGTTGGAACTCTAACCTTGTAGATCCACCTTCGCGTCACCATATTGAAGTTCGACACCACTGGTTTAGGATTCTTCACCGCCTACTTTAACTATTTCTAGTTCAAGTACGGAATAGTGGCGTCGTCTATTTGAATCGACTTCTAATTCTTGCATTTTCCATGATTTTCACTTTCGTTATTCAATTCAATGGTTCGTAACCTTTTTAGGTCACCGAATAAATAGTATTTAGAATTGAAGGCGAGAATTTCTCGTGTTCGATTTAATCAAGCATCATTTCAATTTTGATTCCTTGAATTTTCGGATTCTTAATTCCCACGAAAATTCCATGAAGTGAAATGAACAGATGATTCTAGGTCCAAACTCAGATTTACATTAGAATTATCAAATAGCGGATGAAACTGCCTCTAGTATCATACCAAAGGTTCCTAATCACACATCACTTAAATTATCTAACATCGGCGCGGTCTTCGTTGTAATAACTTCTAACATAGATATATGACAGACACACGTCCTTTGGGAGGCGAATGACCTCGAAGAGATAAACGAATATCGTATTGAACTATAGTTATTGGGTCTCAACGAAGTAAACTGAACTTCAATCACAAAAATATCAGCGATCAAAGCAGTTACCATCGTGAATTGTATTGTCCTCTAACACGGCGTAGAATACCGAATATTTTGGTTTTATTCCATCATACCCTATAGTCGCCATTGAGATCCACAATGTTCATGCGTTCGATGGCGATCCATCAACTAAAACACATATTCTTCTTAGCATGTTGACGTTGCACCAGAATTGGAAATTCAAATGCACAAAGATGTTCAAAGGACGAGGGAGTTCTACATATCACATATACGGACTTGTCAGTAGTCAAAATTATTTCCATCATCGATAAAAGTCCCTGCGAGATACCTCGTAGGCAGCAGATTCCAAGCACAAGTTCCATTTTGAGGCAATTAGACGGTCAGGTCTCCGTCGGCCAGAGTTATACGTACAAAATAACAGAGATTATATGGTCTTTAGTCATTTTTCAACTTGTTATTTGAGGAGCTTATAAATCACAAACTCTCTTCAAAAAAGCCTCTGGTCAGCATGTTCATCTAGCCTTGTACTCGACTCTGTCGACCGACAAGGAGACTACGGGGGAGAGAAAGAAATTAGTCCCAATTCGTAGAAACCAAGGAAAGTTTTAAAAAAGGAATCCATAAGAAATCTCGCCTCCTATCACCAAAGCTATTAGTGTGGTCAAAATCATACGCAAGGAATGGACTCTCACGTACCATATAGACACATTCAACCATAATTTGAAGGATAAGGAACAATGCCTAACCCGAAGCTAATGAAAGCTAGGATGTTATCGCTCTATTATTCATAAGATACTTCGTCTGGCAATTCAAATTGATGGTCTGGTGGAGTTTAAGGAGACTTTAAGGAGTCTGAGGTTAGCTCTGAGGAGACCCTAAGGAGTCAACAAGAAACGTTCATAGGGATGTCGATAGTTAGCTAAAAAGACCCTAAAGAGTCTGAGGAGAGCCATCGCCCTACCGAGCAGACGAAGATAAGGGCGTTTTTTCCAAAGTCACAATTGGCCTAAGAATTAAGAATAAAAAGGAAGATAATTGTATCCTCGTGATTTCTTCTATTAGTTAGACACTCTTTAAAATTGTTACACACTTCCAAGCATTAATATACTAATTGTTAAATGTTGCGACCACAAATAATGTATGAGTTTTGTTCAGGATGACGTGAGTCTCTCTTTTAAGATTGTAATGCCCTGTATAATATATATATATATATATATATATATATATATATATATATATATATATATATATATATATATATATATATATATATATATATATATATATATATATATATATATATATATATATATATATATATATATATATATATATATACATATATATATATATATATACATATATATATATATATATATATATATATATATATATATATATATATATATATATATATATATATATATATATATATATATATATATATATATATAAAATATCACACAAGAGTTATTATTTGGTACTGACACCATCACAAGTGTCTATTGGCATAACTTACATACTTGACCATTTTACAAAACATAAAAGAACAACAATGGTACAAGATATGAAAAGTGTCAACCATAAAAAAATTAAGATCCAAGTACAATATTTGTCATTGTACAATCCAATACATGGCAGAATAAACATAAGTTAAGATTCCCTTGAAACATACATGCAAAGTTCCACTTGTAAAGTAAACTTCCAAACAAAACCGGAAAAAAACTGCAATAATGGGGTGAGATAATAATCTCAGTGAGTTTTCCTATCTTATGGGTTCATTCGCCTCTACAGGTTTCTAATCAAATCTATCTCAAGTCAAGAGGGAAAAGGGATAAACTTGAGTTCACACAATTTGCAATGTATGGATACATGTCTCTTGAGTCCACTAACTCAAACAATCACTAATCAAAAACCATACCAAGGCACATTTCCCCGACCAACCCTATGTCTAGAGTTATCGACACAGGTCACAGATCCTTGTATCTACTTAGACATACAAAATGGATTCGGATTCAAGGTGTTTTCCACATTAATCGTCGCTTCCCGTGGAACCTCTCCCATCTCAAACCTTTTACCCGTAGGCTCCATTCGTACACACGGGACAAATGAATGGATTCAAATTCAAGTTTATTCTCACATGAATCGTCACTTCCCATGGGACCTCTCCCGTCTCAAGTCTCTTACCCGTAGGCTCCATTCATTTAAGGGAACTCTTGTCAAAGTAATAAGGTGTACATCCCAAAGGAGCTCTACATAAGCATAAACTCTTGGGACGACATCCACAAAGGTTGTTTCCGACTATGTGGTAAAATATGACACAACGTGAATGTATTCGACAATCACAAGGCAGACACATTCACCTTAAACACATAACAATAACACGTGTTCCATACAATGCATTTCACTCACAACTATGGCAATCATTCATCCATGACACACACATAGACATCATAGCATGAATTTCACCATATAGTGTTATCTAAGTCACACGTGCACCCTATTTATCTTTTTAATCCATTCTTCTAGTTTTAAGTATGGGTTTCCTCACTTATCTTCATATTGTTTTAAGCATGTTATATTATCACACAATCAAACATATGAGCATACACATATATCACACATAAAACACGTATGGTGACATAACAAATCAAATATAACTAATGCATACAAGGCATATGATCATCATAATGAATAGGAATTTTGGAGCCAAGCCCCTCACCAAAATAGGACTTTCGAAACAAATGTCCCTCATCAAAATACCAAACCAATTCACATGGTACTCATCACAACTCTAGGTGTTCATCTTCACCCGTTCACATATTACTCCACATTCAATCAATCCAATACTATTCAATTAATCAAACATATATATCTTGGAATACCTTTCCAAAGCTTTCGACCGCGCCTCAATCCGAGTTACGGTTCACAAGATATGAAGAAAACAAGAAACGAGAAAATTGCACCCTGTCATGGTCGCACAGCGACCCCAAAGTGAGGTTGGCTCACTTTCAGTTTGCACAGCGAACTCCGAGTGAGGAAAAGGCATAACCAAAACTGGTTCATATTCGCACAACAACCGTAAGGCGAACAACTTATTTTCTGCACGATGAAGCTCGCACAGCAACCATAGTAGAAAATTTGGTCGCCTAGAGCTCGCCAACTGCTCATACAACGACCCATGCGAATTTTAGAATTCCAGAAAACAAAAACGAACCAGCCAAGGTTCATATTTCACACCCACATATCCGACTAGCATCCAAATATTTAAATAAACATGGAATAACATAATTTAAGCATGGAATTCATCAAACCAACATGTATCAAGTTGAATTCACATTTAGTCGTGTTTTCACACAA